TATTATATTTTGGTACTGGCAAAGGAGGTCTAATGACTGGAGATATCGTTTAGAACGAATTGGCTCTTTATTTAGCCACGTGAGAGAGGTTACTGAGGTTGCATCGTTAAGAGTACTTTATCCAACCAACTCAAAGCTCATTGTATAGATGCTCAACTTCTTTCGCACCGTACGTAGCCAACCGCGGTTAATTAATCGGAGGTGCGGTGGAAAGACAGCTAAACACAACAACAAGAAGCAGTTCTAAAGAAACGAGTTTGTCAATCATAATGACAATTTTAAAGGTGGATAGCTCCCAGTGGCTTCATAACATCGGAAGGGAAGAACGTTCCAGACGGCCGCAGAAGCGCATCTGAAAGCTCCCCGCGATGCGGTGACCACCACCGTCTTTTTGTTCGATGGCTCGCAGCCCAAAAGCCGCCGCCGCTGCTGCTGCTGCTGCTGCTGCGAGGGTGACCCCCGGAGTTCGCGTGCCTGGTGGTTTATTCTCCTGGACGAGATCAGCGAGGTACATGTGTATGTTGAACTTCTTTCGCACCGCACATCGCCAACCGTGCTCATCGGAGGAGCAGGAGAAGGACAACAAACTCAACACAACAAAAGCAGTTCTAAAGAAATGAGTTTGCCAATCTAGATGATGATTTAGAAGTGCATAGCTCCAGTGACTTCATAACATCGGAAGGAAGAACGTTCCAGACGGCCTCAGAAGCGCATCTGAAAGCACCCGCGATGCGAGGATGACCCCCGGAGTTCGCGTGCTGGTGGTTTGTGCTCCTGGACGAGACCAGCGAGGGTGTTGTGGTTCATCTGTGGCATGCGCTTTCTGTGCGCAAACTTTATTTGCACCGAGCTCGTCGCTGTATGCATTGCCGAAGCGTGTGAGAGTTCATGTGCGTGCGTTGTATGTGGCTGTCGATTCACGCTCACAACCACCGACACCGCTGACGATTATGCGAACCGGTTCCGGGCCTCCCCTAGGTCGGCTCAGCATCGAACGAGTACCTTATGCGTGGTGTCAGCCACCCTGGCCCTAACCCACGTGTGCCGTGCCTGGCCTGCATAGCTGCTGGTTAACAACACTTGCCCCGACAGTCTGTTGAGGGCTATGCGGGGGATCTTTGCATTTGGTGTGTTATCCCATGTCTGTGTGTACGTGTGTCTGTTGATAGCCTGCGTGTGCCTGTGTGTACGTGTGTGTGTGTGCACGTGTGTGTTTACGCGTGGCTTTGTTTGCGTGTGTGCACGTGTGTGTGTGCACGTGTGTGTGTGTGTTTACCCCTGGCTTTATTTACGTGTGTGTGTGTACGTGTGTGTTTACACGTGTGTGTGTGTGGTGACGTCACACATCTTATTTCTTGTCGTCTTCTCTCGAACCCTCCCGGTCACGAGAAGACGCAAACGGAGAGGTGGGCGAAGCGAGCGAGCGAGCAGGTCAGTCAGTCCCTGACACCACCATCATCATTAGCAGCAGCAGCACCAACACCACCATCACTAATGCTATCACCGCCACTAACACTATCATCAACACTTATATTATCATTTGCACAAAGAAGAATATCATCATCATCATCATCATCACTCAAACTACCATCACTTAGACTATCACGATCAGCACTTACACTGTCGTCAGCACTTAAGCTATCGTCACTAATGCTTCCACTATCAGCACCAACACTGTCATCATCGGCACCAACACTATCATCATCATCGCGAATACCACCACATCACCATTATATCATCAGCAGTAAGCACGATAACTGTGGTGATGATGATGATGATCATCATCATCATATCGCACCACTAACAACACCACGATCATCATTCACACTCACACCATCGCCATCACAATGAATACTATCACCATCACCATCGTCAAGAACACCACGACTTCCATCACGATAATCATCATCAGCAGCATCACTGACACCATCATCACTAACACATTCATCACCACCATCATCATCAGCAGAAGCATCACTAACACCATCATCACGGACACATTCACCACCACCATCATCATCAGCAGCGGCATCACTAACATCATCAATATCACAGCCATCATCATAAACAGGACCGCCATCGCCATCACCAAACACCACCATCATCACCACTTTATGATTATCGTCATAATCATCATAATCAGGTGCGTTTCGCGCGTATAGACGCGTGCGTGTGTGCGCATTTGTGTCCACGTGTGGGGAGCGGTGGTGGAGCGGTTAGCGCTGCGCTACGAACCTGGCGACCCGAGTTCAATTCACGCTCACGGTCAACACCAATGATGATTATCTGAACCGGCCCTGGGCCTCTCCTAGGTCGACTCAGCCTCAAACGAGTACCTGGTGCGGTGCGTAAAAACATCGCCGCGGGGGGAGACAAAGGCGGCCGGGCGTGGTGCTGGCCACCCACCCCCCTCGTGCGCCGTGCCGGCCCTTCATACGTGCTCGCTAGCAGCACTTGCCCCAACGATCTGCCAAGGCTACTCGGGGGATCTTTGTCTTTGTTTTGCTGCCCACGTGCCATCGCCTGCACGCGCGCGTTTGCGCCGCTGCCGAGCACATGAGCCCAAGCGTTCGTGACGCCAGGCGGCCAGCAACTAGCATCGGCAATCACTCGTTCACAGCTGCGATCGATAAAGGATGAATGACCGTTTGCAAAAGTGGCGCACTTCATTCCCAGATCCCAACAATGCGCCACCGCCGTGTGCGTGGTTGTTTGGTCGTCGTCAAAATTGTTGTTATATTCTTCGGGTTTTTTCGGTAAAGTCACGTAGGTAAAAAATTAAAATTAATTAAAGTAAAATAAAAATCACGACGTTTCGGAGGCAACACAAGCTTCCGTCTTCAGGTTGGAACCGTCACAGCACGATAGCTGTATCAGCTACCGTCACAGCTATCGTGCTGTGACGGTTCCACCTGAAGACGGAAGCTTGTGTTGCCTCCGAAACGTCGTGATTATTTTAATTTTATTTTATTTTTATTAATTTTAATTTTTTACCTACGTGACTTTACCGAAAAAACCTAAGAATATGAATCCTTGCAGTCACGAAAGCTTCAAATCTAGAATTACTGTAGTTGTTGTTGTCGTGAGTGTGGAGGAGCGGTGGCGCAGCGGTTAGCGCGCTGCGCTACGAACCGGTTCAAATCATCGTGACTTGTGTCGTTGGCTGTGAGCGGGAATCGACGGCCACATGCACGCGCGCACACACACACACACAACACTGAGATGCTGCGATAACAATGAGCTTCGTGCGTTTAAAGTATTAAAGTAGCACTCGTTGCACACGAAGTGCTTGCCACAAATGAACCACAACGCCCTGCTGCTGATCTCGTCAAGAAGCACAAACCACCAGCACGCGAACTCCGGTGATCATCCCCGCAGCAGCAGCAGAGCGGCGGCTTTTGTCTGCGAGCCATCGGACAGAGACGGCCGTGGTCACCGCATCGCGCGGCGCTTTTAGACGACGCTTCTGCGGCCGTCTGGAACGCTCTTCCTTCCGATTTTAGGGAACCACTGCAACTCTGCACTTTTAAATCATCATCATCATCTAGATTGACAGACTAATTTCTTAAGATCTTTTTCATATTCTTAGGTTTTTTCGGTAAAGTCACGTAGGTAAAACATTAAAATTAATAAAAGTAAAATAAAATAAAAATCACGACGCTTCGGAAGCAACACAAGCTTCCGTCTTCAGGTGGAAGCTTGTGTTGCTTCCGAAACGTCGTGATTTTTATTTTATTTTACTTTTATTAATTTTAATGTTTTACCTACGTGACTTCACCGAAAAAAACCTAACAATATGAATCCTTGGCGTCACGAAAGCTTCAAATCTAGAATTCTTAAGATCTGCTTGTTATCTTTAGTTTATTGTCTCTTCTCCCGCGCCTCCGATCAAGGCGGTCGGCTGCGTACGGTGCGAAAAAAATTTCGATGTAAAGCTTTCGTGACTGCAGCGATTCATCTTCTTGGTTCTTTCGGTAAAGTCACGTAGAAGGGGAATAATGAAATAATAATAATAATAAAAAAACATTGTATTGTATTTTATTATGTTTTATTTTGTTTATTATTTCCCTTCTACGTCACTTTACCGAAAGAACCAAGAAGGTCCTCTTCTTGGTTCTTTCGGTAAAGTCACGTAGAACGGAAATAATACAATAATAAAAATAAAACATTATAAAATAATTCTCACGACGTTTCAGCCACAACGCAAGCAGCCGTCCTCAGGTGGAGAGCAGGTCTGTCGAGAAGACAGAGTCTGAATGACACACTCCAGGCTTGGAGCGACTATTTAAGCTGGGATGGAGGGGGGAAGTGCGCCTTGACAAAATAATTTGCATATCAAGAGGAATTTAGCATATTTATGGGAAATGCAGATATGCGATTAGTACTACTTGGAAATGCGTAGGTGGTGCGAAAGAAGTTCAACACTACACACGGGGCCTCCACCACCTCCACGTGACCTCATGTCTCGTCGCGACTCGAGCCTCTGCTGGGCCTCCCTCGCCGCCTCCTGCCTGCCCCCCCTACTCCTCCTGCTCCTCCTACCGGGTCTGGGTTCGACCCCGGGGGCCGCTGACAACGCGGCCCCAGGCCTAGGCAGGGATCTGAGTGAGCTCCGAGGGCTCCGTCTTGGCCTGCGACCTCCGAGACCGCCCATCTCTGCACGCGCAGCTCAGGTGAGGAGCAAGGGTCAAGGTTCGACCCACCCCCACCCACCCCACCCACCCCACCCACCCACCCACCACCCCTACTATAGCCGGTGCTTGATACGTAACATTTCGACACCACGCGAAATGAAATATGCCGATTTATAATAAAGTTTTTTTTGGGTCAGATCGCGTTAATTTGACCAAATTCCGCCTCTCGCAATCAAACCCTATATTCACATACCGTGTCGACTGCCTTTGCGAACAACAATGATGCCGTCACGTGGGCACTTCGAGAGATGTGATCTCCAAAAGCCAAACAATCGCGATCTGAACTCCGAACTTGTTCGCGGGCAGATCTTCCTGGCTCGGTACGGCTGGCTGGACCCCGTGCCGTGGAGAGAGGGCTCTGGACACGCTGACGCCGACCCCGCCACCGCCCCCTGGGATGACCTCGACTTTGCCAACCCCGTCCCGGACGAACTCCCCGTGGAGCCCGACTCGGAGCCAGCCCACTCGGACTCCGCAGAGCTGCCCGCTTGGGGAGCCGAGGCGGGTGCCGGGCCCCAAGAGGAGGCGTCACGGCGGGGCGAGCGAGCGGGGGGGCGAGCGGGGGTGGCGTTCTTCGTCGGCGTAGGCCCAGCCGTGGCCGATGCCCTGCGCAGGTTCCAGGCGGCGCACGGCCTCGAGGTCACGGGCCTCCTGGACCCCGGGACCAGGGAGGCGATGAGCCAGCCGCGTTGCGGTGTCCCCGACAGGCAGACGGGAGAGGCGGCAGGTGATTGGGGTGCTACTCGCTAACAGCACTTGTCACAGGCTATACGGGGAGATCTTTGTCTTTGCCTTTGTCTTTGTTTCCAATGTCACCTGCGATGTTGCTGGATGTGTGGACGATCGAAAGGTCTCGTTGCTCCACTTTTGCCGTCGCTGCGTTCCGCTGACACCGACTCTCCCGCCTTCCTGCAGCTGATCGGTTTGCCGCCTCGATCTCCTCCAGCGAAGCGACCGCCACCACCTCCACCATCACCTCCACCACATCCACCGTTAACGTCACCCCCAACACTATCACGAACACCTCCACACCGTCTTCCTCCGCAGTGAACACCACCGCTACGCCACATACCTCAACCACCGCCACCGCTGCCACGACCACCGACCCCAATACCATCACCTCCCCATCGCCTCCCTCCGTCACCATAATCGCGAACACCTCCACATCACCGGCTTCCACCACAGCCACCATCACCCCCAGCATCTCCGCGAGGGCTCACACTCCTGCCAACACCATCACCAACCACTCCGCGTCACCTCCCTTCATCACCACCGCCAACATCATTAACGCCACCAACACATCCGCGCCACGTTTCTCCACCACCACCACCACCACGACAGCCAACAAGAACCTCACGGCCTACGACCGAAGCCGCACTCATTCACCATCCACGCCGCTCGTGCCGAACACTCAAACCACCACAACCACAACCACCACCACAACCACCATCAACCCCAAAATCTCCACAACCACTCACACTTCTGGCAACACCATCACCAACCGCCCCACGTCACCTGCCTTCATCACCACCGCCACTATCATCACCAACGCATCCACGCTACGTCCCTCCACCGACACTACCACCATCACCAACCGCTCCACGTCACCTGCCTTCATCACCACCACCACCAACATCATGGACACCACCACCATCATCACCAACGCATCCACGCTACATCACTCCATCACCACCGCCACCATCACCAACCGCTCCACGTTACCTGCCTTCATCACCACCGTCACCAACCGCTCCACGTCACCTCCCTTCATCACCACCACCACCACCACCAACATCATGAACACCACCACCACCACCAACGCATCCACGCTACGTCCCTCCACCGACACCACCACCATAACCAACCGCTCCACGTCACCTGCCTTCATGACCACCACCACCATCACCACCATCATGAACACCACCACCACCAACGCATCCACGCTACGTCCCTCCACCGACACCACCACCACCATCACCAACCGCCCCACGTCACCTCCCTTCATCACCACCACCACCACCATCACCACCACCACCACCAAATCTGACGTCGCCCGCAGCGCCGGGCGCTCGAGGCGGGCCCTCCCGTCACGTCCCAAACGCCGCCTCCCTCGTCGCCTCCACGAGTTCGAGACGAGGCGACGTCGCGACCTCCGGGGCCCGGTCGACGGTCCCGGGGGGCTCGCGTCGACCTCCAGGGCCTCTCCCGAGGAGGAGGAGAAGGAGGAGGGGGGGGAGGCCGCGCCGCCGCCGGCGGCCGCCTTCGCGGCCCGCGTGGTGCGCTGGAGGCTCCTGAGCGAAGGCTTCAGCACGAGGCTGAGCGTTGTGGAGCAGAGGGCCGTGGTGCGCCTCGCGTTCCGCATGTGGAGCGAGGTGGCTCCGCTCGTCTTCAAGGAGGACCTCACGTCCCCGCCCGGAGACGTGGACATCCGCTTGGGGTTTGGCACGGGTGAGGGCTCCTCCCCCGTGGGTGACTACCGCCTTGCTCGTGACTACCACACCCCCCGTGACGATCCCGTGACCACCACACCCCACGTGACCATCCCCTGACCGTGACCACCACACCCCACGTGACCACCACACCCCACGTGACCATCCCCTCACCGTGACCACCACACCCCACGTGACCACCACACCCCACGTGACCATCCCCTGACTGTGACCACCCCTCCCCACCCCAGGCCGCCACCTGGGCTGCCCGCATGCCTTTGACGGCTGGGGCCGCGAGGTGGCCCACGCCTGGACTCTGGGGGACGTCCACTTTGACGACGATGAGGACTTCAGGGGCCTCGGGGAGGCCCGGGGCATCAGCCTGCTCAAGGTGAGCGACAGAGACACAACGCGCGCGCGCGGGGAGCGGTGGCGCAGCGGTTAGCGCGACGCTGCGCATCGGAACCCGGCGACCCGAGTTCGATTCCCACTCACGGTCGACACCGCTGACGGTTATCTGAATCGGGCGCTGGGCTTCCCCCGAGGTCGACTCGGCCTCAAATCAGTACCTGGTGCGGTGGTGTGCAAACATCGCCACTGGGGAGACAAAGGCGGCCGGGCGTGGTGTTGGTCACGCCACACCCTCATGTGCCGTGCCGGCCTTCATAGGTGCTGCTCGCTTGCCGCACTTGCCCCAACAGTGTGCTTAGAGCTACACGGGGGACCTTTGTCTCTATCATAGGTGCTGCTCGCTTTGCAGCACTTGCCACAACAGTGTGCCCAGGGCTACACGGGGGATCTTTGTCTCTATCATAGGTGCTACTCGCTAGCAGCACTTGCCCTAACAGTGTGCTAAGGGCTACACGGGGGATCTTTGTCTCTATCATAGGTGCTGCTCGCTTGCCGCACTTGCCCCAAGGGTCTGCTAAGGGCTACACGGGGGACCTTTGTCTCTATCATAGGTGCTATTCGCTTGCAGCACTTGCCCCAACAGTGCGCCAAGGGCTACACGGGGGATCTTTGTCTCTATCATAGGTGCTATTCGCTTGCAGCACTTGCCCCAACAGTGCGCCAAGGGCTACACGGGGGACCTTTGTCTCTATCATAGGTGCTATTCGCTTGCAGCACTTGCCCCAACAGTGCGCCAAGGGCTACACGGGGGACCTTTGTCTCTATCATAGGTGCTATTCGCTTGCAGCACTTGCCCTAACAGTGTGCCAAGGGCTACACGGGGGACCTTTGTCTCTATCATAGGTGCTGCTCGCTTACAGCACTTGCCCCAACAGTGTGCTTAGGGCTACACGGGGGACCTTTGTCTCTATCATAGGTGCTGCTCGCTTTGCAGCACTTGCCCCAACAGTGCGCCAAGGGCTACACGGGGGACCTTTGTCTCTATCATAGGTGCTGCTCGCTTACAGCACTTGCCCCAACAGTGTGCTTAGGGCTACACGGGGGACCTTTGTCTCTATCATAGGTGCTGCTCGCTTTGCAGCACTTGCCCCAACAGTGCGCCAAGGGCTACACGGGGGACCTTTGTCTCTATCATAGGTGCTGCTCGCTTTGCAGCACTTGCCCAACAGTGCGCCAAGGGCTACACGGGGGACCTTTGTCTCTGTGCGCCAGGTGGCCGTGCACGAGATCGGTCACGTGTTGGGGCTGCGCCACGCGCTGCTGCGCGGCTCCGTGATGCTGCCCGAGTACCCCGGGGGAGGGGCCGGCGGGGGGGAGGGGGGGGCCGGGAGGGGGGCCGGGGGGGAGGGCGAGGGGGGGGGCCGAGGGGGAGGTCTGTGAGCTGCACCCCGAGGACAGACGTGCCGTGCAGCACCTGTACGGTGAGAGGTGACATCACCATCACCAACATCACCAACATCACCAACATCACCACCATCACCATCACCAACATCACCAACATCACCGCCATCACCAACATCACCAACATCACCACCAACATCACCACCAACATCACCACCAACATCACCATCATCACCATCACCAACATCACCATCACAAACATCACCACCAACATCACCATCACTACCATCATCATCACAGACGCGCCGTCCAGCACCTCTACGGTGAGACGCGACACCACCAACATCACCAACATCACCACCAACATCACCAACATCACCAACATCACCACCAACATCACCAACATCACCACCAACATCACCAACATCACCATCACCAACATCAGCAACATCACCGAGATCACCAACATCACCATCACAAACATCACCACCACCAACATCACCACAAACATCACCACCAACATCACCAACATCACCACCAACATCACCATCACCAACATAACCATCACAAACATCACCATCACCACCAACATCACCATCACCAACATCACCATCACCAACATCACCAACATCACCAACATCACCACCACCAACATCACCACCAACATCACCACCAACATCACCACCAACATCACCATCATCACCATCATCACCATCACCAACATCACCAACATCACCACCACCAACATCACCACCACATCACCAACATCACCATCATCACCAACATCACCAACATCACCATCACCAACATCACCAACATCACCATCACCAACATCACCAACATCACCACCACCAACATCACCACCAACATCACCACCAACATCACCAACATCACCATCACCAACATCACCACCAACATCACCATCACTACCATCATCATCATAGACGCGCCGTCCAGCACCTCTACAGTGAGACGCGATACCACCAACATCAGCATCACCAACATCACCAACATCACCAACATCACCATCACCAACATCACCAACATCACCAACATCACCATCACCAACATCAGCAACATCACCATCACCAACATCACCAACATCACCAACATCACCATCACCAACATCACCACATCACCAACATCACCATCACCAACATCACTAACATCACCATCACCAACATCACCAACATCACCAACATCACTAACATCACCAACATCACCAACATCACCATCACCAACATCACCAACATCACCAACATCACCATCACCAACATCACCAACATCACCAACATCACCAACACCACCAACATCACCAACATCACCATCACCAACATCACCAACATCACCAACATCCCCATCACCAACATCACCACCAACATCACCATCACTACCATCATCATCATAGACGCGCCGTCCAGCACCTCTACAGTGAGACGCGATGCCACCAACATCAGCATCACCAACATCACCAACATCACCAACATCACCATCACCAACATCACCAACATCACCACCATTACCAACATCACCATCACCAACATCACCAACATCACCACCATTACCAACATCACCAACATCACCAACATCACCAACATCACCATCACCAACATCACCAACATCACCAACATCACCAACACCACCAACATCACCAACATCACCATCACCAACATCACCAACATCCCCATCACCAACATCACCAACATCACCATCACCAACATCACCAACATCACCAACATCCCCATCACCAACATCACCAACATCACCAACATCACCATCACCAACATCACCACCAACATCACCTTCACTATCATCATCATCACGATCACCAACACCAACATCACCTTCACTATCATCATCATCACGATCACCAACATCACCTTCACTATCATCATCACGATCACCAACATCACCATCACCACCAACATCACCACCAACATCACCTTCACCAACATCATCACGATTACCAACATCACCACCACTACCATCATCATAATCACAGACGCGCCATCCACGGCGGAGGTGACGGTGGCACGGATGGAGGGACGGTGAGGCTGGGAATGGAGCCGCGTGATTTCCCAGCGGGTCGGTGAAGGAGGAATGACTCTATGGTTCTTTCGGTAAAGTCACGTCTAAAGATAAAATAATAAATTAAATAATAACATACGACGTTTCGATTGCAACACAAGCAATCATCATCAAGTATAAATGAAATAGCAACAAACATTTTAACCAGAAAACTATAGACAGACATATAGGCAGACAGATATCACCAAGATACATAGAGAGAGTAACACAGGCACAGAGAGGGAGATCGTCTCTGTGGCGAGGCCTTAAATAGACAGAGGGGACGGTGTCAGAGAGAGTTGGAGGGGTTAGAGAAAAAATTAACATGTCAATGAATACGAAGCACGCCTGGTAAAGTAAGTTGCTTGTGTTGCAATCGAAACGTCGTATGTTATTATTTAATTTATTATTTTATCTTTAGACGTGACTTCACCAAAAGAACCATAGAGTAATTCCTGCAGTCACGAAAGCTCCAAATTCAAGAAGGATGAATGAGTTGGAGCGTGATGGTGGAACGAGGACGCACGGTTGGGTGCGGCGTGGACGAGAGGCGACGGGGTACGGGGCACACGCGTGATGTGTTCGGGGGTCAATCTTGATTTGAAGCTTTCGTGACTGCAGGAAATCCATACTTTTTCGATTTAAAGCTTTCGTGACTGCAGGGATTCATCTTCTTGGTTCTTTCGGTAAAGTCACGTAGAAGGGAAGTAATAAAATAAGTAATACAATAATAAAAATAAAACATAATAAAATATTATATTATATTATTTTATTATGTTTTATTTTTATTAAAATAATAAAAATTAAACATAATAAAATATTATATTATTTTATTTTATTATGTTTTATTTTTATTATTTCATTACTTCCCTTCTACGTGACTTTACCGAAAGAAACAAGAAGGAGAAATCCATACTCTTTGCTTCTTTCGATAAAGTCACGTAGGTACGAAAATAAAATCAATCTTGCGCAACACAAGCATCCGTCACCTGATGACGGACGCTTGTGTTGCGCCCGAAACGTTGTGATTTATTTTATTTTTTACCTACGTTACTTTACCGAACGAACCAACGAGTATGGTTGGGGGTCATCCATTCAGTGCGTACGCATGGAGGGGGAGGGGGGGGTTTAAACCAAATGCGTTCGCGTGCGTGTGGGGGGGTGTACTGACAATGTACGCATAGGAAACGGGGGGCTAGGGGGTGAAGGCTCGATAATAATGTGTCTACATTGGCCTTCAAATGAGTCAAATTGTCCGGCGGTGTGGACTATCTGTTTGCTTAAACACGTTCATATTACACTGGTCAAAAACAAAAACAAAATTCTGGCCTGGACTTTTGCAGCTGTTTTAGAATAATTTCAGGGTGCCGATTCCAAATCTGATCTCAGATTTGCTCTATCACATCTCATTTTATGCTATCGGCATACCCCATTTTCATTGATTTTACCCGAAATTAACTCTGTCACTTATTATTGCAAGTTGTTGCGAGTCAGTGACTGCTTCAGTGTTAAAATATGGTGCTGTATTTTTAGGATGGTGTGTTTATCACGTTTTAGCTGTGACGGTCCCACCTGATGACGGAGACTTGTGTTGCCTCCGAAACGTCGTGATTTATTATTTTATTTTATTTCCATTATTACTTTTATTAACTTTAATTTTTTTACCTACGTGACTTTACCAAAAAAACCTAAGAGTATGAATCCTTGCAGTCACGAAAGCTTCAAGAATCTAGAAATAAAATAACTCAATTAAATCACGACGTTTCGGAGGCAACACAAGTCTCCGTCTTCAGGTGGGACCGTCACAGCTAAATTTACTGTATCAGTAAATTCACTTGATACAGTAAATTTATCTCTGACTGTCCCACCTGAAAACGGAGACTTACTTGTGTTGCCTCCGAAACGTCGTGATTTCATTGAGTCATTTAATATTTATGTATTATTATTATTATTTTACCTACGTCACTTTACCGAAAAAACCTAAGACTATGACTCCTTGCAGTCACGAAAGCTTCAAGAATCTAGAAGTTAACATCTCGATAATTGTTTTTTTACCCTTCTATCTGGCAACAAAACTGACACCTTTTTACAAGGAGTCACGTTTGCATAGACCGCAATACCTGCAGTCATAATACAAACAAAAGACCATAACTCTGATAATGTGCACTGTCCTTGAAGTTGATTGGTCCACACCCGAGACAGCTTTCCTTAGAGCCTAGTCTCACATGGGTTGGTGGACCCGATGACGCCAAAAGGCGCACAACTCAAAGACTGCAGGCATTGCGGTCTATGCAAACGTGACTCCTTGTAAAAAGGTGTCAGTTTTGTTGCCAGACAGAAGGCTAAAAAAACAATTATCATATTTTTACTGGCAAATGAGGTTCCCATAGTAAAGTTAACATTTCCTTAACCCCCCCCCCCCCTCTAGGCGTGTGCGAGGGGCGCTTTGACGTGGTGCTGGACTGGGTCCGCCGTTCGCCCGACGACCCCACGGGGCCCCCACGCTACAACACGTTCTTCCTGCGCTCCGCCTGGTACTGGCTCTACGAGAACCGCAGTCAGCGCACTCGCTACGGAGACCCGCGGCCCATCGCAGCCGGCTGGCGGGGGCTGCCACCGGGCGGTGTCGACGCCTTTGTGCACGCGTGGACCTGGAGCCAGGACTGCGCCTATTTCTTCAGAGGTTCCATGACCAACATCACAACCATCATCATCACCATCATCAGTTTAACACGTAGGCTTTCGCGACGAATATTATTCATAATCAACGTTTTTGGGTTTAGATCGCGTTATTTATAAATGTGTCGTAACCCTCCACCACCCGACACGGCCAATCAGTAAAAAAGTGTCACGTTGACAAAAGACAAATAGTTCACTGCTTTAGCCCACCGGTGTGTTGAAGCGTGAAACCACAACATTTACAATTTGAGTAGTACGACGTTTCGCTGGTAATTGCATCCAGCATCATCGGGCAATTCGCCAGAATGGTGAGGCTCTGCTGTGTCTCCCGTTCTTATATAGAGCAGCAGCAGGGTGACGTCATCATTAACTCATCAGGTGCAAAGATTTGAGGGGGGAGTTATTGTAATTATATACTAGAACTAGCTGTACTACCCGGCTTCGCCCGGGACTTGTATCCACCACGGCTGGCCGCCTTTGTCTCCCCAGTGGCGATGTTAATACGCCACACCAGTTACTCGTTTTGCGGCTGAGTCCCTCCCTCACCACTCTCCCTCCGTCACCACTGTCCCTCCCTCACCACTCTCCCTCCCTCACCACTCACGCACGGCCGCCTTTGTCTCCCCAGTGGCGATGTTAATACGCCACACCAGTTACTCGTTTGAGGCTGAGTCGACCTAGGGGAGGTTCAAATAATCGTCACCGGTGGTGGCCGTGAGCGGGAATGGAACTCGGTTCGCCGGGTTTGTAGCGCAGCGTAGCGTTAACCACTACACCCACCGCTCCTCACACACCACACACGCACAGACACACACACAGACACACACAGACACGCGCAGACACACACAGAAAGACACACACACACAGACACACAGACAGCACGCTAACCACTACACTACCGCTCCCCACACACCACACACGCACACACACAGACACACACACAGACACACACACACAGACACACACACACAGACACAGACAGCACGCTAAGCACTACACTACCGTTCCCCCTACACAACACACGCGCGCGCGTCCATAGGTACACATACACGCGCTTGCTGCAGACACACACGACTTTCAGGGTGCGTAAGGCAGTAAACGACTGAAATAATAAAGCGGCAATGCTGTGCGAGGAACGCCTTAGACCTGCAACACATTTGTGTAATGCGAGCGTAAACACACAAACACATACAAACACATACACACACATACATACACACATACACACAAACACATACACACACATACACACACATACATACACACAGACATACACATAAACACAAACACACACATACATACACACAAACACATACACAATACACACACACATACATGCAGACACACAGACAGACACATAACACACATACATACACACACATACATACACAGAAACACATACACACATACATAGACACACACATACATACACACAAGCACATGCACACACGTACATACACACATACATACAGACACGCAGACATACACATAAAGACATAGAAAAAAACCCACATGCATACACACACACACAAACACATACACACACATACATACACACATACATAGACACACAGACATACACATGAACACATACACACATACACATGACCCGGCTTCGCCCGGGACTTGGATCCACGATGCCCGGCCGCCTTTGTCTCCCCAGTGACGATGTTCACACACGACAGCAGTTACGCGTTTGAGGCTGAGTGGACCTAGGGGAGGGCCAGGTCCGTTTCAAATAATCGTCAGCGGTGGTGGGCGTGAGTTGGAATCGAACTGGGGTCGCTCAACCAGCTTAATGACTATTTGTACAAAGAACATATAAAGAATCGATTATAATAACCAGGCTACAGTCCACATTATAGACTGCCAGTACACGCAATCAGCTTCATAAGCAGGCTAGAGTGTACATGATAGAGTGGCAGTACGCTCACCGAGCTTAATAAGCAGGCTACAGTCTACATGATAGACTGGCAGTGCGCTGACCCAGCTTAATGACTATTTGTACAGTGAACATTTAAGTAATTGATTGTTGGCGCGTTGGGTTTAAAAGTAATATTAATTGCACACATTGTGGTGGGGGTGGAGTGAAGAGTAGGAAAAACTTTGATGAATTTACCTCAGAGTGGCGTGGTGGGTGTCGAGGCCTAGTAGCGTGCAGAGCCTGCGGCCTCGCCTAAATTGTCCACCCGGCAGAGGCAGGGTACGGGTGGCGTGCCTTCCCCCCCCCCCCCTCAGCGCTCCAACAATACTGTGTAATGGCTATTATTTAATTATTTACGGAGCCTATGAAAGTGGCGAAGGCGTGGCTAGCCGTTGGTAGGGGCAACCGCCGTCCAATGAAACTGCAGCCCTTGGCGAAGGCGTCGCTAGCCGTTGCCAGGTCCAATGAAGCGGCGAAGGCGTCGCTAGCCGTTGCCAGGGGCAACCGCCGTCCAATGAAAGTGCGTATGGTCCGAAATCCACACACACACACACAGACGGACAGACAGACATTCACGATTTTATATATATAGATTGCCCGATGATGCTGGATGCGATTACCAGCGAAACGTCGTACTCAAATTGTAAATGTTGTGGTTTCACGCTTCAACACACCGGTGGGCTAAAGCAGTGAACTATTTGTCTTTTGTCAACGTGACACTTTTTTACTGATTGGCCGTGTCGGGTGGTGGAGGGTTACGACACATTTATAAATAACGCGATCTAAACCCAAAAAAGTTGATTATGAATCACCATCATCACCATCGTCACCGGGGTTTCCGTGTGTGTGTGTGTGCCTGTGTCTCGCTAACAGCACTTGCCCGTACATTTCAGTTTCATTTCATTTATTAGGTATAACCCTAAATTTCGATTTAAAGCTTTCGTGACTGCAGGGATTCATCTTTCTTGGTTCTTTCGGTAAAGTGGTCACGTAGAAGGGAAATAATAAAGTAATAAAAATAAAACATGATAAATAATTCTCACGACGTTTCGGCCACAACACAAGCAGCCGTCCTCAGGTGAAGAACAGGTCTGTCGGAAAGACAGCGTCTGAATGAACACCAACAGGCTTGGCAGCGTATATATATATAATATGGGTTGGAGGGGGAAGAGCGCCTTGACAAAGGAATTTGCATATCAAGAGGAATTTAGCATATTTATGGGAATTATTATTTTATGATGTTTAATTTTATTATTTTATTATTTCCCTTCTGCGTGACTTTAACGAAAGAACCAAGAAGAAGAGGTATAACCCTGTGAGCCATGCGGCTCTTGACTCGGGTGCAACCGCAACAAAACAAAAAACATGAACAAGAAAACATCTTCAAAATGACTACACGCAACATAAAAAAAATCCTGGAAAAAACAGCAAAGTCCTACAGCGTGTTAAGGCTATACGGGGGATCTTTGTCTTTGTGTCTGTCCGTGTCTGGCTTCAGGACCAGCTCAGATAATCATGAATCGTCGCTGATGTTGACCGTGAGTGGGAATCGAACTCGGACAAACACGAGCGCATTGGTATTTAGAGCGTTACGTGTGGCCGCTGTCCGCTGAATGGAGAGTCATCAGCAGAACGTATTATACGGTCGGAATGAAAGGGACGCACGAGTGCGAGCTGTAATATGCTACTCGACGGAGGCTCGCTGCGATTAATGAGTTGATAGGAATCCAGCCGTTTGTGCTCTCGCCAAGGACGTGAATTGTGATTTCTTGATACAGATACAGATGGCGGGGGGTGGGGGGGTGACACTGCCGGAACAAGGCGTACACGCACGGGTATAGACACGTGCGCGCGCACACAGCATTCGTACGTGAAGGCAAAGACCTCCCGTATAGCCTCAGCAGACTGTTGGGGAAAGTGCCGTTGGCGAGCACCGCCCGGCCGCCTTTGTCTCCCGAGTGTTTACACGCCGCTACACCAGGCGCTCATTTGAGGCCGAGTCGACCTAGGGGAGGCCCAGGGCCGGTTCAGATAAACGTCACTGGTGGTTAGCCGTGAGCGGGAATCGAACTCGGGTCGCCGCTTTTCGTAGCACCAGCCGCTCCACCACCAGCACCATCATCATCATCAAGGTTATTATCATCATCAACACCAGCACAATCATCATCATCAAGGTTATTCTCATCATCAGCAGCAGCAGCATCATCATCAAGATTATTATCATCATCATCATCATCAACACCAGCACAATCATCATCATCAAGATTATTCTCATCATCAGCAGCAGCATCATCATCAAGATTATTCTCATCATCATCATCAGCAGCAGCAGCAGCAGCATCATCATCAAGATTATTCTCATCATCAGCAGCAGCACCATAATCATCATCAAGATTATTCTCATCATCAGCAGCAGCATCATCATCAAGATTTTTATCATCATCATCAACACCAGCACCATCATCATCATCAAGATTATTCTCATCATCAGCACCAGCAGCATCATCATCATCAATATTATTCTCATCATCATCATCAAGATTATTCTCATCATCATCAGCACCAGCATCATCATCAAGATTATTATAATCATCATCACCATCAGCAGCAGCATCGCTATCATCTTCAACATCACAAAGGCGGCCGGGCGTGGTGCTGGCTACACCGCCCCCTCGTGCGCCGTCGGACTAAATCGGTTCTCGCCTACCGATCTTTGCCCTGCCACCAACAGTCTGTTCAATCATACTTGGGGCAAACGTATTTGTGTTTATATATTTGTTTGCGTGAATACGAGCGTCCGTCACATGTACGTTGGTGTAACGTCGTTGCACGTGTGCAAGAGTGTTTAACGTGTGCCTGTGTCTGTGTGTCTCGGTGTGTGCCTGTGTGTGTATCTGTATCGGTATGTTCCTGTGTGTCTGTGTGTATTGTGGGGAGCGGTAGTGTAGCGGTTAGAGCGCTGCGCTACGAACCCGGGTTCGATTCCCGCTCACGGCGAACACCCAGCGACGATTATCTGAACCGGTCCTGGGCCTCCCCTAGGTCGACTCAGCCTCAAATGAGTACCTGGCGCGGTGCGTAAAAACATCGCCACGAGGGAGACAAAGGCGGCCGTGCGTGGTGCTGGCCCACCCACCCCCTCGTGTGCCGTTCCAGCCCTTCATATGTGCTACTCAGGAACAGCACTTGTCCCAACAGTCTATAGCTAAAGGCTATAAAGGGTGATCTTTGTCTTTGTAGGGTCCTATTACTGGCGCTACGACAGCGAGCGAGACCAAGCCTTCGTGCGAGACCCCCAAGGGGTCTCCTACCCCCGACTCATCTCAGAGGGATTCCCAGGGGTCCCGTACCCCCTCGACACGGCCTACTTCGACCGCAGGGACCAGAACATTTACTTCTTCAAAGGGAGTGGAGTGAGTTTCTTCAAATCTCCCCCACGCACCCAAACCCCCTACACTCCCCGCAGTGCCGGATGATCCTAGTAGCACAAGTAGCTACATGTGTAGTAGCTACTACTAGTGTAGCTACTGCATGTGTAGTAGCTACATGTGTAGTAGCTACTACATGTGTAGCTACTGCATGTGTAGTAGCTACTACTAGTGTAACTACTACATGTGTAGTAGCTACATGTGTAGTAGCTACTACTAGTGTAGCTACTACAGGTGTAGTAGCTACATGTGTAGTAGCTACTACATGTGTACTACATGTATAGCTACTACACATGTAGTAGCTACATGTGTAGTAGCTACTACATGTGTACTACATGTGTAGCTACTACACGTGTAGAAGCTACATATGTAGTAGCTACATGTGTAGTAGCTACTACATGTGTACTGCATGTGTAGCTACTACATATGTAGCAGATACACATGTAGTAGCTACGGGCCCCGCACTTTCAAGGGCTCCGCGCTGTGGACCGATCAGTTTCAAAGACAATGCACATAGTATTATTATGATCAGAGCATGATTTTTGTTTGCATGGTCACCGCAAGTACGTTGTCGTTCACGCAGACAGGATTGCTTGCAAAAAGGATTATGTTTAGTGTTTTAACATCTTAACAGCTGTTTTATTTGCCAAACCTCCTGTCACATCTCTTGTATATACACTATGTTGAACTTCTTTAGTACCTACATTTCGATTTAAAGCTTTCGTGACTGCAGGGATTCATCTTCTTGGTTCTTTCGGTAAAGTCACGTGGAAGGGAAATAATAAAATAATAAAAATAAAACAATAAAATATTTCTCACGACGTTTCGGCCACAATGCAAGCAGCCGTCCTCAGGTGAAGAACAGGTCTGTCGAGAAGACCGTCTGAAACATTCAGACAGTGGTGGAAATTCCAACATTCAGACGCTGTCTTTCCGACAGCCCTGTTCTTCACCTGAGGACGGCTGCTTGCGTTGTGGCCGAAACGTCGTGAGAATTCTTTAGCACCGTACGTAGCCAACCGTTGACTCGTTCCCCCGTCCCCCCACTTCTCTTCCCGACGTCCCCCACCCCCCCGCACCCCTCGCCTCTCGCCGTCCCCAGGTGACGGTGTTCAACGTGCGCTTGGGCCGCGTGTCCCCAGGCCCTCCGCGGGCCCTGCGCTCCGTGTTCCCGGCCCTGCTGGGCCCAGGCGGGGACCACCCCGGGGGAGGCCTGGATGCGGCCTACTACTCGTACGCCCACGGAGCCCTCTTCCTCCTGAAGGGCCCTCACGCGTGGAGGGCCCTCACGGACGCCGAGAGGCGCGCCTGGGCCTCGGGCGGGTCGACGATAACGATGAAGGAGACGATGAAGACGATGCAGGAGACGATGCAGGTGAAGGCGACGCTGCCGCCTAGGAATGCACTGCTGCCCCGGCAAGCGACGGCGCAGATCTGGCGGGACATCTGTGATGCCGGTGCGGCCGGGGTTTAGCGGATGGGTGCACGAGGTGGTGGTGGAGGAGGAAGAGGTGGAGGAGGAGGAAGAAGAGGTGGAAGAGGATGTAGAAATGGTGTTGAAGGGGTGGTGGAGATAATTGGTCTTTTACCCTTCTATCTGGCAACTAAACTGACACCTTTTTTTGTTGCCAGATAGAAGGGTAAAAAAACAATTATCATATTTTTACTGGCAAATGAGGTTCCATTGGTGTAGGTGGTGGAGAGACAAGGGAAACAAATATATGGAAGACTTATGAGAGAGATGAAGATGATGATGATGATGGAGGAGGAGGGTGGAGGGGCAGAAGATTTAGAGGAGATGTAGGTAGAGAGATGAATGGAGGGAATGGGAGGTGGAAGTTAAAGGTGGAAGAGAAATGTGGAGGATGGGAGGTGCATGGGGGTAGAAGAGGGGTAGAGGAGAGTTGCAGCAGGAGGGTGCGAGCGTGGGTGGTTGAGAAGAGGTGCTGGAAATAGACGAGTAGCAGAAGGGATATTGACGAGGTGGATAAGGAGATGGGGTGGAGGTGAGAATGGACGGTGAAGGAGGTGAATGAGGTGGAGGAGTAACAAGGCGATAGGAGGTGGAGGATGTTGAGAAAGGAAGTGAAGTGGACGGGTTACAGAGATGTCGGAGGAAGAGGAGGAGGCATGGACGGTTGGTGTGGAGGAGGAGGTAGCAGGAGGCAGTGGAGGAGATGGAGGTGAGGTCAGAGGAGGTGGAGCGTGGCGAGATGAAGGCGGATGAGGTGGTGCAGAACAGCCTGGCAGAAGAGGTGGAGGGATGAGTCGGGGCCTACAGTAGACGGAGGTCAGGAGGTCAACGAAACAGATGAATTTCGATTTAAAGCTTTTGTGACTGCAGGGATTCATCTTCTTGGTTCTTTCGATAAAGTCACGTCGGGGAGGCAGCGTCTGACGCTGTCTTTCCGACAGACCTGGTCTTCACCTGAGGACGGCTGCTTGCGTTGTGGCCGAAACGTCGTGAGAATTGTATTTTATTATGTTTTATTTTTTTATTTTATTATTTCCCTTCTACGTGACTTTACCGAAAGAACCAAAAAGATGGAGCAGATGAAGTTGAATTAATGAGGTGAGAGAAAGCGAAGAGCGATCGATGTTAATCAATTCTAGATTTGAAGCTTTCGTGACTCCAAGGATTCATATTCTTAGGTTTTTTCGGTAAAGTCACGTAGGTAAAAAAATTTAATTAATAAAAGTAAAATAAAATAAAAATAAAATCATATAATTTTATTTTTATTTTACTATTATTAATTTTAATCTTTTACCTACGTGACTTTACCGAAAAAAACCTAAGAATGTGATGTTAATCAAGTTAACGCGTCTCGTGAGATATGGAGACAAGTCTGGCAACTAAAATATTATAATCATTTTACTTTATTTATTTACGATGACGATGAGAATTTTGTCAGATGTTTTTTTTATTTTTTATTTTACAATGAAATTGCCTCAAAGTCTCAACCCAGCGTTGGACAGTGGTGGCAATTCCACATTGCTATGGCAAGGAATAGTTTACACAAAGGACAATAGTCACTGTTGGGTTTTCAACGTAGTGGTTCTATTAATTATATTGAGTTCGGAGCGATTGAGATTAAGAGGACGAAGCCACCAAATATCTGGGAGACTCAACCCGTTCTAGATTTGAAGCTTTCGTGACTGCAATGATTCATATTATTAGGTTTTTTCGGTAAAGTCACGTAGGTAAAAATTTAAAATTTAAATTAATAAAAGTAAAATAAAAATTAAAAAAAAATCACGACGTTTCGGAGGCAACACAAGCTTCCGTCTTCAGGTGGAACCGTCACAGCACGATAGCTGTATCAGGTAAATGAGAGATTTCAAGAGATATTTTTATTTTACTTTTATTAATTTCAATTTTTTACCAACGTGACTTTACCGATAAAACCTAAGAATATGAAGACTCAACCCGGACACACGGTGAGCTGATTGCCACGCCCATTACGGTGGCTAGGAGATGTTAACCACCTTGCCTGGTTTTCAGGAGGTCGCGGGTCCGATCCCAACCCTGATTATGCCAGTACATTTGGGGCCGCCCATACATGACGTCACGCGATTTTGGACGATTTTTTACCCCCCCCCCCCCTTCGTCACACGGCGTCACAAAAAGTCAGACCCCCCCCCTCAAATATGACGTCACAAAGCTCTGCCCCCCCCCCCCCAAAAAAAATGCTTCAAATCGCTTTAAACTATTGTCATTGTAGTGCGTATTTAATGTGGCGCTGCACTCTGATGTTGTAGGAGAAAACATTTATTAAAAAGTCTATTTAATTAAGTAGAACGTGTTGTCTATATTTATTTAAAGTTGCCCATTTTGATGTGACGTCACATTTCTCAAACCCCCCGCTCCCCTCGTCACACATCGTCACAAATGTCTGACCCCCCCCCCCCCAGGTGCGTGACGTCATTTATGTACGGCCCCTTTGGAGTTTGCATGTTCTCCCCGTGGTCGCGTGGATTTTTCTCCGGGTCCTCCGGTTTTTCCCCTCCACATTTAGAATCAACATAACGCGTTTCGAGTGTTGTTTGCCTGCTGTACATTTCCACGTTATCTTCTTGGTTCTTTCGGTAAAGTCACGTAGAAGGGAAATAATAAAATAATAAAAATAAAACATAATAAAATAAAATATATTATATTATTATATTATATTATTATATTATATTATTTTATTATGTTTTATTTTTATTATTTTATTACTTCCCTTCTACATGACTTTACCGAAAGAACCAAGAAGATGAATCCCTGCAGTCACGAAAGCTTTAAATCGAAATTTCCACGTTACTTCTGAAAAAACAGCAAAAAAAAAAGTTGTATACAGGCACTCCTCTACTTACGAACACTCGACATACGAACTTACAGAGATACGAACAAACCTGTGCGTATGTCCAGTCGCCCGTTCGGAACGAGAGTCGTAAGTTCAACCGCGGTCGTGGCATCTACATCTGCATGAACGTGAAAAACCAGTCGGCATCTATATCTACAGGAGAATTATACAACTTTAAAAGCCATCCCCCGTGTTTGGTGTCCATGCCCGTAGCACAATGTGTTTGGAATCGATAGGAGTAAATTTGGGACTTACGAACAGATCGACTTACGAACAGACCTCTGGAACCGAACTCCCTGCAGTTTCATATCCACCCCGTTATTAATGTAGCCCCGCCTACTACCCAGGTGGCCCCGCCTACTACCCGGGTGGCCCCGCCCACTATCAGTGTGGCCCCGCCTACTACCCAGGTGGCCCCGCCTACTATCAGTGTGGCCCCACCTACTACCCGGGTGGCCCCGCCCACTATCAGTGTAGCCCCGCCTACTACCCAGGTGGCCCCGCCTACTATCAGTGTGGCCCCGCCTACTACCCAGGTGGCCCCGCCCACTATCAGTGTAGCCCCGCCTACTACCCAGGTGGCCCCGCCTACTATCAGTGTGGCCCCGCCTACTACCCAGGTGGCCCCGCCTACTATCAGTGTGGCCCCACCTACTACCCTGGGTGGCCCCGCCCACTATCAGTGTAGCCCCGCCTACTACCCAGGTGGCCCCGCCCACTATCAGTGTAGCCCCGCCTACTACCCAGGTGGCCCCGCCTACTATCAGTGTGGCCCCGCCTACTACCCAGGTGGCCCCGCCCACTATCAGTGTAGCCCCGCCTACTACCCAGGTGGCCCCGCCTACTATCAGTGTGGCCCCGCCTACTACCCAGGTGGCCCCGCCTACTATCAGTGTGGCCCCGCCTACTACCCAGGTGGCCCGCCCACTATCAGTGTAGCCCCGCCTACTACCCAGGTGGCCCCGCCCACTATCAGTGTGGCCCCGCCTACTACCCAGGTGGCCCCGCCCACTATCAGTGTAGCTCCGCCCACTATCCTGCTGGCCCCGCCCACTATTCCGGTGGCCCCGCCCACTATCTGTGTAGCCCCGCCCACTGTGAGTGTAGCCCCGTCCACTATTCTCGTGGCCCCGTCCACTATCTGTGTAGCCCCGCCCACTGTCAGTGTAGCCCCGCCCACTATCCCGGTGGCCCCGCCCACTATCCCAGTGGCCCCGCCCACTATCAGTGTAGCCCCGCCTACTGTCCCAGTGGCCCCGCCCACTACCCAGGTGGGCCCCGCTCTTTGCCCGGCATCTTCACGATTCGGAGTAGAAATATTTTGAACTCGGCGGCAAAGATCCCAGATCTTTGAAAAATCTTCCGAGGAGAGAGGGTGGGGATGGCCCTTTACAAACCCACCGGGACTGTCCAGGACAGTCTGTGCAAGTTGATGATGATGATCTTAGATTTGAAGTTTTCGTGACCGCAGAGATATATAGTCTTTGGTTCTTTCGGTAAAGTCACGTAGGTATAAATAAGTATAACCCGTAAAAACAAAGTTTTTCACTATAAATCCTTTATATGCGTGGCGGCTCGAGTCCTCTCGTCCTCTGGCTTGAGATGGCTGCCACCTATGGGTCAGATGATTGCATTGCACCATTAAGCAATTGGTAATTAAATATAATATTTTTGTCCTAAAAAGTGTAACATTTTGAAAAAAAAGTGTTCACGAACATTAATTGTCACGCACAACGAGTCTGTGTGGAAAATGTCAGCTCGATTGGATCACGGGAAGTGGGTTAAAAAACGACCGAAAGATTTGCACGGTCCTAAGCAAGCAAGCGAACTTAATATAAAGGATTTAAAAATAGCTTTGATCTCCGAGCTGGGAGTTGAACTCGCGCTCACCGCCGTGTCACCGAAGCCGATGTTTTCATTGCACGGAATTAATCCCACGTGTTCATTTGACTCGGGGAGGGGGGGAAGGGGTGATTTAAAGGTATTTATTAAATCGCGCGTCTTACTTTCATGAAAGGGGCACTGTCTACTGACGTGTACATTAAAAATAAATCAATATTGATATTTTACAGCACATGTGTCAAATCCACTGCTGGATGATGGGCTGTCTGCGCCGTGTCAAGTCACGTGG